TTAATTGGTTCGGACGCTTCTGCTTCAGTAAGACCACAGCTTGGACTAATTTGCTTTAGAATAACCACTCTTTGCAGGAAGTTTTGTTGTGTTACTATGCTCAGTGGCAGTGATAGCCTGTGAACGTAGCTGTTTTTTTTTAAACAAAGTTTCTTTTGAATGATAAATTAGTTCAGGTATTTGTTGAAATTATGCATTTGACTGTGTGTATGTGTTCTTTTTTTTTGTCAGGCATAAGAGAAAACCCGTTGTTAAGCCTCATTTTTTGTGACCTTTTTGTATTTTCATAGAACTGTAACTTGTGTCTGTTCCTCTGTGTTATACATACCTCCATGATTATACAATTCCTGAAGTGTATTATTTCTTCGCTTCAAAAACATATGCCCTTGCGTTGAAAGTTTGAATTGAATTAACTGGCAATATGCAGCTCAACATGAATGTTTTTGGCGGGAAAATGGTAACTCGGAAACCAGAAAAGCTGGGAGGCTGAAATTTTAAGGGAATGCTCAGAGGATTCACCGAGAATCCATCACACGCTCAAAAGGCTACAGCTCTTCCAATGCTCAAAAGAGTTGTAATTACGCTCGGATGGATATTGCCCTCCAGTACGTTCATCGGAACATATGATATTTGTTTCCTTTATTTCTGATCTTAATATTTCAGTATTTGTCTGTGCCCGCCTTCCGTAAATTACTGTTTGTTTGCCTAGATTAACCGTCGCAGTGAATGACCTCTGTCAATTATTTTTTTTCTGATCGTATTTTTTGCTGGTCGTTCTGTCCTGGTCGTGCGCCGCTAGAAAACTCGCTGTGGCATATGTCTACGCAGCCCGATTATTATTGTTTATAATTGCTTTCCGCATCTTGTTGCTAATTGCTTCGAATTTTCATGTATTTAAGAAGTAATTGTTATCTTTCTGTTGTTTTTTTAAACGTTCAATATTCTGCAGAAATGGCTGGGAAGAGATGACCACGTTTCCTATCGATATGTTATTGCCTTCAGGTTAGGGGTACTGAAGAAGTGGGGGATGGTTTTTGTGGTTCGGCGCTTTTTGCGCCATCCGGCAGCTTTTCGACGTGCAATCTCTGGCTAGATATCGTGGCTTATGGTTACTTCCTGGCTAGGGCGTAGCTGTTATCTTTCAAACAATTTTAATTCAGCTCCCAGGTATGCGTGATTCCTACGTTAGGGCCTGGTTAAGTTTTTCGGCTTGAAAATCGCTAACCTGGGAACCAGGAAAGTTAGGAAGCTGAAATTTTAAGGGGATGTTCTCAACACATGTACAACTTAAAGATTTCAAATTTAGCTCCTAGTATGGGTGCACCACGCTGCAGGAGCTTATACAGCGTACAAACTGTGCTTTTCTGTGTATTTAAATGAAATGTTTAATAAAGACTTCTGATTGTCCACCACGAAAAACTCACTGATTCATAAAAAAAGAGTGCAATCCATACAAATATCTGTGCTTTTGTTTATGCCCCGCAGTAGTTTTTGTGGCTGTAGGATAATTTTTTTTTTTCTTGATGAGCTTTTGTTGAGTCTTTTAGCGTTGATAAATTCCTGAAAAAGTACTTTTGGATTGGCCAGGTGTTGGTGCTTTCATTTTCTTGCTAATGTTCTTGATCAGCTGTAAGCGCTGTTTCCATTAGACTGGTATAAATTTGCCGGGCAAGATCAGTGCGGGATAATAACTGTCGCTTGATAATGTATTGCTTCTGACTGATATTTTTGTTTTATTTTTCCACAATAATTTATTACTTTTTTTTCAAAAAAAAAAAAAGATTATAAATCATTTCAAAAAAAAAAATCAGTACTCTCGGACTAGCCTTTGGACAGTCTACCCCGTCTAGAGTGTTGCAACTCTTTAACCTTTGATCACCCTCAGTGGAAGTCACCTTGTAAATTCTGTGGGTAAATGGGCATATTTGTAGGTTACCATATATATATCCGCATAATTTAGCTCCAGAATAACGAGGGCTAGAAAGCTGAAATCTTAGATCATTTTCCCTGACCTCTTATACAATATGTGCTTGAAAATCGCTTGAAATTTAGATCTGTGATGTTTAATCGATCATTTGTATCTGTACGTACGGTGCTTGGTTTCGTAGACGCTGGCATACATCGACGACATCGATCAAGTTCAGCAATTGTACAGCAAATTTGTCAAAATCTCAGCGCCCATTCATCATCGGACCAGTGGCGTGTAAGTCACTTTTTTCATTACTGAAAATATTTCAAACAGTAATATGTAAAGAAAATTTTTCAAAAATGGTTGATTTTGGAGT